TTATTCTTTTACATGTTAAATTTAATTTAATTTAATTTATTTTTAATTATTATTTATTTTATACATTCTTATATTTTATTCTATTTATTTTTATTTTTTTATTTTAATTTTAATTTATTCATTACACGATATATTAACGAATATATTACACGAATATGTTACACAAATACGTGATTCGAATTTCGTGTAACTGAGCTATTTCTGTGGGCATACAAATTACTTGCTTCAATACTTAACAAAATTTCAAACTCCGATTAGGCGAAGTTTAAATTTGTCAATTTTGTGGGAATTTGAATTCCCATAAGTCACGTGACTTCGTCGTTTGATCGGAGTTTCATACTCCGTTTCAGCAGAGTTTGAAACTCCTTCAATTTCGTAGGAACGTGAAATTCGAAGTCACGTGACTTTGTCGGAGTTTAAATTTTTTCTGCATCGCTTCTCTTTCTTTGCACTTTCTATCTATCTTCCCTTTTCCCTTCGCTCTTTACCTTTTATCCTTCCCCACCCCTCTTTCCCCACCCCTCTTTTCCGTCCCACCCCACTCCCAATCCCCCACCCACTCTCCTACTCCCTCTCACCTTTCCTTTCCGGCTCTCCCCGTCCCTCCTTCTCTTTTAAAATTTTTTTTTTTTTTTTTTACCCTTTACTACTGTTTGACATTTCTCTGTTACTAATTAATTTTACTGATGTTTTTGCCTGCTTCGCAGGCAAAAAACATCAGCAAAATTAATTAGTGACACCAAATGCCAAATAGTAGAGTGTCAACAACGTTGAAACGTTGATATGATTCAAATTTTACTATCGCTAAAAAATTTGACTTTAAAAAATTCCAATTTTAATAAATAAACTCGTGATAATTACTTAATTTAATCTTACGTAATTATGGAAATAAAATAAATACTATATAATAAATCGTTATAAAAAAATTTTTTTCTTTGCCAATTGATTGCAATTTTCCGTAATAAACGTTGAAGATGGCAATGTTAGCAAAGTTAGTGATCAAGAAGAAATTATTGAAAATAATGATGTTCTTGCACGTGACTGTGCTAGAAATGAAAAAAAACTACTGAGGAGCAAGTAACACCTTGAATGCAGGCGTAAAAAAGAAAGATGCAAGAAATATTGAAGAAGGAAAAGAACACATTAACATAGGTGTAACCAATGGGAAAAGAAAGTGGATACAGAAACAAATGAAGAATGAGAAGAACATATTGCATGTGATTGTAATCGAAAACATAAGGGAAAGGGTGTTGAATCATTCAGGGAGCGAGAAATACTTATTGAGCACAATCACTGACAACTGCTAAAGGTAGATAATACTAGAGGCTCTACAAGTAAAGGAAAAGAAAACATGAGACCTTGTTAATCCCAACTTTCAGAACCTGATAAAAAAAACTTTTAAATATTTTTGCAAAAGAATGACATCAAAAATGAGCTATGTCCAACATGTGATGAATGTTTTCCATCTGTTATTCTCTATAAGGGCGAATGCCATTAATATTATATTGAAAAAAATACTCCAAAGAAATTTTTAGCTAAAAACAACATGAATTCAAATATAAAGTATTAAATTTATTAATAATAAATATAAAATTTCTAATTTACACCACAGGTAATAATCATCTATGATAATAACTTAAGAATATATATTAGAATAATTATAAAAATTATACAAAACAGTTCAACCTCTCTATAGTCACCTTCTACATAAGCACATTTTCTTTATAAGCATATTTTTTTAAAACAAACTATTATTAAATATAATAAATTTGACCTCTATAACTGTTACACTTCTTTATATTTTTATATTCCAAGTGTGTGATTATAAAAAGGTTTGACTATATTTTATATTATTTTACATGACTAAACATATAAGTCAAACTCAGGTTAATATTCATATAATACATTATAATCTAACAAACTTTAAACTATTTATTGTACAGGAATCAAACCCAGGTTAATAGTTATTCAATACCCAAACTAATCAACTTTATAAAACACTTTTTATGCAGGAATCAAACCCAGATCAATATTTATACAATACACAATTTGAAACCCAAACCTGTGCTTATTTCTTCTATAAATCTTAGCCAATAAACTTTATAAAAGCAGCCATGTTATAGAGAATTAAAATTTTTTTAGATATTTTAAATCATAATAGTAGCTAAAAAAATATTTAATTCTTTATAACATGGTTACTTTTATAATATTTATTGGCTGAGATTTATAGAAAAAATAAGTATGAGTTTGAGTTTCAGATTATACATTGTATAAATATTGATCTGGGTTTGATTCTTGCACAATAATTGTTTTAAAGTTTATTAAATTATGTATTGCATTGAGCTCACTAATTGTTTTATAAAGTTTGTTAGTTTTGTATCAGGTTTGATTTCTTGTACAAATGATTGTTATAAAATTTTAGTTTAAGTATTTTATAACTATTGATCCAGATTTAGGTAAAACAATTAAAGACAGTAGCTATTGTTAATAGATAAAATTAACATTTCAACTATTACTATTGGTACAGTAATAACCAACAAAATATTGTTGTATTTTAAGCTTTGCAAAATTTTTAAATAATGTTTTTGTGAGATACAATTACTAGAAATTTAATTAAGTTATATATTAATTTGCCAAAAATTCAAAAGCATTGTTTTTATTCAATTTGCCAAAACAAAATTAAATACAAATATTTAATCTAATGAAGCAATAAGAAGTAGGCTAGCAAATTATTATATTAGCTTAAGGTTATACTCTAAAATCCTGAAAGCCATTTTTCCAAAGAATATAATACTAACTAAATTAGCTAATATTGCAAGCTATCTTTGTTGGTATTATATCTTTTTCAGGAATCTGTCTCTCAAAATTTTAGGGTAACTCTATTTAAGGCTGATATTACTATTAGTTAGAAGAGCAATTGTGAATATTAATCCAATTTAGCCCTGATAGATAACTAGATTCAGGATTTAGAACATATATATATATGATATGAGGTCACAAAACTTTTAAGCTAGTTTGGGGTTATTACTTAACAATCAAACTTTAATTACCAGAAGAGTTTATTATATATAATAAGAAATGCAATACAACAAAATAAAAAAATAACTAATACAATAATAAAAAGAATAAACCAAACTAATTAACTAATATCTAAATTAAAGTACAACACAAAAGAAAAGAAAAAATTTAATTCTTATTACAAACTATAACTAAGACATTAAGAGTAACACACATAGTCTAATAAGACCTTGTCTAAAAAACCTTAACTAAGGCAGAAACTCATGCTTTAAATATCTTTTACTTTACTAAAAGCTACTATGCTATCTTTAATTCTAGGCTTATCTTCTTGGCAATCAATCTTCAGAATATAAACAACCTGAATTAGATAGCTATCTAAGCATATAGTGATTGTAAACTAAACATACAACTTCTCACAATTGGATAACAAATTGCTCTTAATATTTACTACAATACTACTTTCTATCTAATATTTACTAGATAATAAAAGTAATTATTACCAGAATTAATCAACATTACTAAGCCTTAATCTGCTAGGTTAATTTGTATCTCTAAGCTTTTTGTAGCTTCAGGTTATTTGGGCTTTTAGTATTACAAAATAACAGCTAGGCTATGAGTTTAAAATTTAAACTATAACACTAGTATTACTGCTAGAGATGAGTTTTATATATATACTAGTCTCTAACCCGGTGCGTAGCACCGGGCTTTAACATTCTTAATTTTTTTTTATATTCTTTTAATTATTTT